CCCTCCTTCTCCTATTCCTCATGCTCGTCCACCTCCGTCATTCATCCCTCCTCCTCCTCCTCCTCCTCCTCCTCCTCCTCCTCCTCTTCCGCCTTCCCCTCTTCTTCCTCAGGAGGACGAACCGCCGGAAAAGAAGAGCAGGAGGAGGACGACAACGGCGACGGACGGCGGCCTCGAAGACCGCGCGCGCCGCCTCCGCGGCTGCGCCGCCGCGCCCGTGCACGGCCAGCAGCGCGGCCACGCCGCCCGCCCTCCGCGGCAGGAACAGCAACCTCGCCGCCCCGGGGACGCCGACGAGGACGCCACCGCTGGCGGCGAGGACGACGGCGACGCCGACGACGGCAGCGCCGACGGCGACGTCGCCGACGACGAGGACGGCGGCGAGGACGGCCACGACGCTGAGGGCGAGGACGGCGACGACGACGAGGACGACGCCGACGCCGACGACGCAACAGCACCGACGACGGCTACGAGTACGCCGACGGCGACGGCGAAGACGGCGCCGTCAATGCGCGGTCGAGCCGATGGCGGCGGCCAGACGACGAGGGGTAGGCGGCGCCAACAACGGGGTGGAGCGAGGGGGGGGGGGGCCTTCTGAGAGGAAACATTCTTAAACGCCGGGCGGGCCTCTGAGAACCCCCCCTGCATCCTTGGATGCCTCGCCACCTTCTTTGTCGCCCCTCCCCCCATCACGTCAGCTCATTGTGGGCGCATCCAAGAGGGGGAGGATGTTCGAAGGCTCGAATTTCCAATGTCGGAATTTCTTTTCGAGGATCAAACTTCGAGGACCGAGGATCGATCGAGGATCAAGCTTCGAGAAGGGGGAAGAGGGGCGAGGTTTGAAGCTCGAACTTCGAGGATCGACTGGTTTCAATCTCGAACCTCGAGGGCCGAGAATCGTTCGAAGATCGAACTTCGAGATACCTCGAGATATGGATGGGGGAAGTTCGAGGTTCGAGGGTCGGACTTCGAGGATCTCGATCGACTTGACTTGTCCTTCTTCGCCCCAAACTGGGGGGTGCCAAGTTGCGGCCGTCTGGGGGGGTCCCCCTCGAAGTTGTGCCCGCAACGCACCCTGGGAATTCCCACAGGGCCGGTTCTTGAGGAGAGGGGGGGGGACGGAGAGGAGCAGGAATAGGAAAAGGAACACGAGGAGGACGAGGACGAGGACGAGGAGGAGGAGGATGAAAAGGAGGAGGAGAAAGAGGAAGAGGAAGAGGAGGAGGAGGAGGAGGAGGAGGAGGAGGAGGAGGAAGAGGAGGAAAAGGAGGAGCAGGATGGATGGCCGTTCTCGACTCGACAGCAACAGCGACAAGAATAGGAACAGGTGGGGAGGAAGGAAGGGAAGGGGGCGGAGAAGGGGGGAAATAGGGAGGGGAGGGGGAGGAGGGGGAGGATGGGGGGGAAGGGGAGGAGAAGTAGCAGGAGCAGAAGGAGAAGAAGAAGGATGAGGGGGAGGAGCAGCAGGAGGAGGGGAGGGCGAGGAGGAAGAGAGAAACGATTGGGAAAGGGGTAAGGGAATAGTAGGAAAAGAGGGGGGGGGAAGATGAGGGGGAGAGGGGGACGGGGGGGGAGGTCGAGGAGGAGGGCGCCCGAAGGAAGGCGCTCGAAGTGAGCTGGGGGTGCGCGGAAACAACCGCAAAGCGAAACAGCGACGATAGCGGCATCCTTCGTGGCAGATGCCGCGCAGAACGTCAAAGAGCCTGCCCGCTAACCGGGCAGTCCCCTGTGCCGCTACGGCGGTTCTCAGCCCCGCCCGCTAACAGGGCGGGCCCTCAAGTCGCCACGGCGTAGGATACTGTGGCCTGGGAGGTCGCGGGAGGGCAAGGCCCGCAGAAAAACTTACGCCCAGATGGGCGGCGGACAGGGGGAGAGGGTCAGCCGGAGGCGGCAGCGGCTCGGGCGGCTCCGCCACGGGCGTCCTCAGAGCGGCCATCGGCTCTCTCCTCGCGAACCGCCGCCTGGCTCACCCCTCGGCGCTCGTTGACGACCTCCTCCAAGCTCCTTAGGTTCCTCGAGGCGAAAGGGCCGCCGGCGACTGCCCAATGGCATTGCGCGCCTCACTCAGGTTTAGGCGAAGCCTTCCGACAAGTGAAATCTCTCGGCAACGTCGACGGGGTGCGATGAGGTATGGCCTCCTTACGAACACCTCTTCAGGTGTTCGATGCCGAGCGCCGTGGGCCCCTTCTGCCTCCGCGGCCCCGCGGCCGCCCGGCTGGCCAGTCACTCGAGCTCCGCCCGCAAATGGTCAGCCTGCGGCGCCCGAGACGCGCCGGGGGATACGTCGCCTGCTCCTCCATCTGGAACCTCGCCTCCTGCGGAGGCCCCGGGGGCGCCCTCGACCTTCCCCGTGGGCTCTTCCAAGCCACCTCTGGTGCCTGCGGCCTGAGCGTGCTCGGGCTGGGGGGCGCCAGTCTCTTCTCCTCCTCGCTCCTCCTCGCGCCTCCGCGCTGCTCCTCCACCGCTGCGCGGGCCACCGCGCGGGGGAGGTCGCCCGGCTCGGATGCGCCTGCGCTGTCGCGACACAGGCAGAGCAGCACCCTGCCCCGCATGACTCGGCCCAAGTACGCGCGCCCGATACGGGCACACCTCTTGACCGCGCGCCTGGCCCGGTACATGCTGCTGTGCTGCCAACGGAGGTTTGCCGCCCCGACTCCAGCCTTGAATTTCGACTTGTCCTTGTCCTCCCGGAAGAGATGGACTGCATCTCCTCGTGTCCTGTCCCCCTACACTTACTTCTGTTTGCTCGGCTGATCGATCTTGTCTCCCTCCTGGTAGAGCACCTCGTGGGCCACGCACTTGGCCCCCACGGTTTCGGTCTCGGGCTTGGAGTTGGGGCCCCGGAGCAGCTCTGCTTGCGGGTCTGAGGCCGATCTCCGCGAGCGAGCGGCGCCCCGCCCTCCCGCGACGTCGAAAGGCCCCACGCAGCGGGGCGCGTCCCCGCAGCCCCAACGCTCCGAACCCTTTGCTGCAGGCCCAAGCGCCGGCCCCCACCGCTCGAGCCGCCCAGCGCGGGGGAAGCCGGGGCCGCAACCCAGGGCCTCCGGGTTGGCGCCCGTCTCCTCGGCTACGTGCCCGTAGGCAGGCGCGTGCACCGCGTAGTGCCCTCCATCGGTGCATTGGAGCCTCGCGGCGCAGGTGGGACGTCTTATCCTGTGATTCCTCCGACTGCGTCCTCGGCCTCCTCGACGTTGAACCAAGGACCGCACTATATACTGCCAAATGCAACCCGACGTCTTGGGCTTCATCCCCGTGCTCAGGGACGGGCGTGCCAAACGGGTTGCGGCGTCGTCAACCTTGAGATGAAATCAGGTGGCGCGCCTTCCCGCACGCGTCTCGCTCGCGCAACTGGGCGTAGAAGGCGCTGTCGACCTGAATCGAAGCGCCTGGCCCCCTCAACACCGGCACGGCATCTTCTCCTCCCCCTTCGCCCGCGGGTCGCGCCACCACAGGTCAAGAGCAAAAAACGAGCACCCACAGCACAGGGGACAGGAGCGTCCTGAGAGGCTTCACGACCAGGTTGCCCAACGCGGCGATCATCGAACGCAGCCCGTAGCCCACGCCGACGGCCATGCCCGCCACGAGCACGAGAAGCCCACCCCACGACACGCAGGGCCAGTACTCTCCGAATGCCATGCTCCCGACGCTGGCGAACGCCCCTCCGAGCAACCCTCCTCCTCCTGCCCACAGCTGTCGCCACCCGTCTGGATCCCACCCGCCGAGGTAGCCCCCGAACCAGCTGCCAACGACCGTGGAGCGCGCGTCCTGGAATCCCCACCAGCTCTTCAGCCTCCTCCTCCTCCTCCTCCTCCTCCTCCCTCCTCCTCCATCCACTTTCTCCTCCTCCTCCTCCTCCTCCTCCTCCTCACCTCCTCCTCCTCCTCCTCCTCCTCCTCCTGGCGCCTCCTCCTCCTCCTCCTCCTCCTCCTCCTCCTCCTCCTCCTCCTCCTCCTCTTCCTCTTCAGGCCTTCATGGGGCGGCGGGGTCGGCGAGCAAAGGCCCGCGGGGGTCGGGGCCCCTCGCGCCGCCGCGTGCACCACTCTCCGACGCTGCCTGCTGTCTCCTCACCGTGCGGCGCTCGCTCTATACCGCCACCCTTTCGCCTCGTCCTCACGCGGTGGCGGAGGTGGACTCAAAACGAAGGATGAGGGAAGGAGAGGGGAGGAGGGGGAGGACAGGAATCAGAGGGAGGAAGGGGACGAGGGAATAATGGGAGGAGGAGGACGAAGACGAGGAGGAGGAGGACGAGGAGAAGGAGGAGGAGCAGGAGGAGGAGGAGGAGGAGGAGGAGGAGGAGGAGGAGTCGCCCTGCCCTTCTCCCCCCCATCGGCTTCTCGAGCGGTGGCTGGGGCGGCGTCCCGCCACTCCCTGCTGCAGACAATCCAGGGGCGGGGGGCAGGTCCTTTTGGTTCTCCGCGGCCGCCGCCCCTCCGCCCTCTCTCCGGGCAAGGGCCAACAGCTCCACGGCACTCCCATCCTCTTCGGCGCACCCCGCCAAGCCGCGCGCCACCTCGCACAAGCTGAAGGTTCCACCCTCGCCCAAAGCCTGCGGGGCAGCGGGCGTGGCGGCCTCAGTCCTTGAGAGCTACCGCCCAATCCCTGCGGCGGCCAAGGCTCCGCGAACCAAGGGCACCGTCGTGCCGCGGCCCTCTCTCTAGCCCGGCCCCGCGCAGCGCTGACACAGCACGCGGCTGCCCCGCCGCTAGGCGCTGGCGCCTATTAGTGCGCCCCTGGGGCGGACCCGGGTATTTGGGTGTCTGGCTCCGCCTCTGGGTCCGCCGCCTTGCCCGGCCGCGGATCCACGACTCCGAGCGAATCGCGGCGCCGCGCTGCGTTTGCGAGCCGCCCCCGTGGGACCGCCGGGCGCCCGGGGCCTCTAAGACCCACCGAGACACTTGAGCCCAGATGGGCGGCGGACTGGGGAAGAGGGAAAGAGGAGAAGAGAGAGGAGAAACAAGGCACACACACAGCCCGTCCCAACCAGTGAAAACCTTCCGTTCTGCTGGGCCCGAACTCTCACGAGGACGCAGAAGCCGACGACCACGAGGCCTCCTCCTCCTCCTCCTCGTCGTCGTCCTCCTCCTCCTCCTCCTCCTCCTCCTCCTTTTCCTCCTTGTCCTCCTTGTCATTCCTTCCTCCTCCTCCTCCTCCTCGTCCCCCTCCTCCTCCTCCTCCTCCTCCTCCTCCTCCTCCTCCTCCTCCTCCTCCTCCCACCTTCCTCCTTCCTCCTTCATTGTTCCTCCTGCCTCCTTCTGCTGTCCTCCTCCGTCCTTCCTCCTTTCTCCTTTCTCCTGCCTCCTTCCTCCTTCCTCCCTCCTCCTTCCTCCTTGCTTTTCCTTTCCTCCTCCTCCTCTTCCTCCTCCTCCTTTTTTTCTTTCTCCTCCTCCTCCTCCTCCTCCTCTTCCTCCTCCTGTTCCTCCTCTTTTTCCTCCATTCGTATCCCCCAGGGCGGAAGAGGGCAGTGACTCCACAATACCAATACAAAAGGTGCGGGAAAAAGGAGCGCACCCAAACGCCTGAAAAATCGGCAGCACGCACCCTGGGGCACCTCGCGTTCTGACAACTTTGAGGCAGCGGGCAATTGCCCTAAGATTGCGACACATCGTGCCACCCCGATCAGCCACCCGAGGGGCGCCACTCCATCGAGCGACCGCACACCCGCACGAAGGCCAGGGCGGGGGACCCTGGCCGTGGGAAAGATGGGTGTGGATCCACCATGGGCCCCCCGCAGGGACCCCCCCACCCGCCCAGGCGCACTCGGTGCACGTGCTGGGGCACCGCAAGGGGTGAGAAAGCGTTGCAACGAGGCGCAATGCTCTCCCCCCCGGCCCCTGCGGGCAAACAGGGGTGGCGACCGGGCTGCAATTCGCCCGTTTTCCTGGGAAAGGCGCCCAGGGGCACAGGTGCCTCCTCCTCCTCCTCCTCCTCCTCCTCCTTCTCCTCCTCCTTTGCCACCGCCGCCGCCGCCGCGGACGACGACGACGACGACGAGCCAGCGAGGCCTCGCCCGCGGGAGTGTGAGGACGCGCTCCAGGACCCGGCAGGCGCGCGTGGGCACCTGCGGGGGGCCGGGGGCGCCGAGGCTCGAGGACGAACTGTTTGGTTCATTTGTTTCGACGTTCGACAGGTTGGGGTCCATGAATTTTCCGAACAGGCCTCCCGACCAGCCCATCCCGCATACCGCGGCGGCCAGATCTCCAGGTCCACCGAATCTCCCCCGAGTTTCCCGCCACCCGCACCTCCGACGACCATGACAGCACTGAACAGAACAGAGCATAGCAGAACATACCATGAAAGAACAGGAGATGACGGAAAAGCAAATGACATAAGAGAGCATGACACAACAACACAGAACATGACAAAGCAGAACACGACAAAACACATCAGACATGTTTCCCACCCGACATGTTGGGGTCGTTCGCACCGGGTGCTGGCACGGACGACAGGCGCGAGCCGCGGGGGGGGGGGGGGGGGCGCTGGCTGAGGGGGGCAAGCCTGCGCGGGCGCGGTCTGCGGCAACCGCGCAGCGAGATGTTGCTTCGGGCGCTGTATCGGTCGTCACCCCGTCCCGCTGCGCCTTCCCGCCTCCGCGTCGTCGTCGTCGTCGTCGTCGTCGGCGGCGGCAGGGAAGGGAGGAGGAGAAGGAGGAAGGATAGAGGGGTAGAAATAGGAGAAGGAGGAGGAAAATGAGGAGGAGGAAGGAAGCGGAGGAGGAAGATGGACGGAGGAGGAAGACTGGAGGAGGGAGACATGAAATGGAGTAGAAGTACGAGTAGGGAGAGAAGGAGGAGGAGAAGGAGGAGGAGGAGGAGCAGGAGGAGGAGGAAGAAAAGGAGAAGGACAGGCGCCGAAGGCTTCGGTGGGGATCGTTCGAGCCTGTTTTGTATCGTTTGTTTGTTTGGCTGCTTGCTTGTTTTTTGAACTGGCATGTTCGTGGGTTTGATTTTAGTGTGTGTGTATTGATGTTGTTATGTGTATACATCATATGTACACACAGATCATTCCCCAATCAGTGCTTGCACTGAAAGGATCTTAACGGATCTTCAAAGACTTGGCGAAAATAGGCGGCCGATTTCGGTGGGCGGCCGGGTTCCCGCGATCCTGTTTCCGGGTTCCCGGGTTCCCCGGGCGATTTCTGTGGGCGGCGGGGTTCCTGGGTATCCGGGTTCCCAGGTTCGTTTTCGACCTCCTATCGATCGGTCTCACCATCCATCTGATTAACCCCTCTCTCTACAATCCTCACAATCGATCTCACAATCGGTCTCACTATAGATCGCACGAGCGATCTCACTATCGACCTCACTGAATCGACTTCGCTACCGGTCTCATGATCGATATTACTATGGCCCTCGCTTTCGATCCCACTATCGTTCCCACTCTTGATCTCAACATCGATATAGTTAACATCGCTGGCTTTCAAGCCATACCCTGCTTGTTTTCTTCTGGTGCGATGCACGACGTATGGACGTGCCACCGCGCGTACAAGCACACACGCATCCATACAGACATGCAAACATACATACTTGCATACATACATACAGCACACATATTGGCATACAGACATGCATTCTTGCATGCGTGCATACACATACACATACACATGCATACACGTTATCATATCGTCGATGGCCCCTAATCGCGGTGCGATGGCGGAGAAAAAGGAAAATGACGGTGATACCCCCATGTCGGGTGGCGGTTCCAGGGGCCCTGGCCTCGGGGCCCCTGCCACGGGACTTGATGCCCCAAAAGTGGTGCATCGGGCGGCGGGAAGTTGAGGAGAAGACACTTACGCGTGGGCACGAGGAGGCGCATCCTCGATGGACCCCCATAGCGGTACGATGGCGGAGAAAAAAAAGAGTGGAGGTGACCGCGGTGTCCCTTTTTCGGGCGGCGGTTCCAGGGGCCCTGGCTCAGGGCCCCTGCCGCCCCCAGGAACTCGACGCCCCCCCCCCCGCGCGATGGAGTGAGACACCCGGAAACAGGGGGGGGGGGAGAGGAGACCCAAAGATGAGGAGGACGCCGCCCCCCCCGCCCCCGTGGACGCTGCGAGGGTCGGAGGCCCATCCAACTTCTCACCTCTCTCACACTTCCCTTGCGCGGCACCGTCGCCGCTGCTCGCCACTCGCGAATGCGCGGAGGCCAAGAGGCGGGGTTTCGAAGCCCTGCCCACCCCCCATCGGGCCCACCGCGGTTGAGGCCCCCCCCGCCCCCGCCCGCGCCCGCGACGGAAGGGCGGGGGCCCCGAGGGCAGGGCGGGCGCCCCCGCCGTAGAGGAGCGGGCCGAAGGGGCGGCCCCTCCACAGCGGGGCCCCTCCCTGCTCGGAGGGCCGCCGCCGAGCCCCGCCCAGGACGCGCCGTAGGCGAGCGGTCGACGGCCTCCGAGGGGGGGGCGTTCCGGGCGGGCGTCGCGGAACCGCTGCCGCGGGTCGGGGCGCCGTGGCGGGCGCGGCCTCCAGGGCCGCCTCGCGGGGCGGTCTCCGCGGGTGGCCCCATGGGGCTCCTGGGAAGCCTTCGTCGCCCATCGCGTGCCGCGTCGGATCCTCGGGCGCCGCGTTGACCTCGAGGGCTGCATCGCCTCTGGCGCTTTCGCGTTGCTGGTGGCGTCCGCCCCCAGAGTCGCGCCCGATGGAGGGGCTTTCTTTTGTCGGGCCGCGCGGAGGCCAGCGCCCGGCGCCCCCGCCAGCGCGCGGGCGCGGCCCCCGCCCCGGAAGGTCGCGAAGCCCCGCCGCTGCTGGCGCCCTCCTCGGCGGGCTGCCCCCCCATTCTCCGCCACCGCGCAGGCGTCCCCCCCGCCCAGGGGCGCTGGGAACCCCGCCGCTGCCAGCGCCCCCAGCACGCCGCCCGCGTGCTCCCCCACCAACGCGCGGGCGCGCCCGAGCGAAACTGCTCGAGCCTGCGCCCTCTGCCCAATCGTTCGCCGCCTTCGGCCAGGAGGCCCCCTTCACCGGGCCCGTCGACGCCGGAGGTCCAAGCGGAAGACCCCGTCTGTCCCCGACGAGGCCGTCGCGGGGCGCCCGGGCGCCCCCGGTCAGCGGCCATCTCGCTCGCGCGGTCGACGCCGCGTCCGACCGTCTCCAGACGCCAGTCGGCCAGCCAGGCCGCTCTCGCCAGCGAGAAGCACGCGGCGCAGGTGGCGCGCTCGCAGTCCACGCCGGCCCTCTGCCAACCCGCGGCCGCCGGCGAGGGCGGCCTCGATGAGAGGGCAGCCCGCCCCCCGCGTCGCTCGAGCCGCTCGCCTCTAGGTTGCCGGAACGGGCGAGGTGCCCCACGGGCCAGGCGCTGCGCCGCGAGCGGAAGATCGCTCGCAGCGCGGCGCCGAACCGCACGGCCCAAGGCGCGAGGCGCTGGAGGCGCCGAAGGCGCCGACGGCGTCGCCGAAGATCTCCCCCGCGAGCCCGCTGGCCAGCGCGCCCCGTCGCCCGCGGGAATCTGGCCGACGCGCGCCCGGGGGCGTCGGTGGCGAGCGGGAGGAGGACTTCGCGCCGTCCCCTGCAGTAGCCCGGGATGTATGGTTCCCCCCCGCTGGCCCCCGCGTCCTCTGGCGGTTCCTGCATCGGAGCCCTCGCTCGCGCCTGCGCGCGCGAATCGCCTCTCGCCGCCCGCGCCCCGCAGGGCTGCCAGCGCTGCCGTGGGGCATGCCCCGTAGAGACGGCAGCGCGACTGCTCCACCTCTCGGCCATCCTGTCCGACGTCGCCTCGTCCGCGCGGCGCCCCCATAGCCGGTCGCCGCGGCCCCCCATGCCGCCGCGCTCGGCCGCCCCCTGGTCGGATGGTCGAGGCACGCCGCGGGGGGAAGGCACGCCGGCGGGCGGGCTGGGCGCCCGCCCCGAAGGGTCGCGTGGGGCCCCGCCGCTGCTCGCGCTCGCGCCCGCCTTCGGGTGCCCCTCTGATTGCCTCGTGGACCTCCGTCTTCGCGAGGTCGAGCGGCTCGCCCGGGTCGGCCCCGGCCCGGCGCTGGGCGATGCTTAATTTGGCCGAGATGTCTTTTGAGCAGTTCAAGATCTCGTGCTCATGCTCTGCTTGTAGGTCGACGGGCGCTGTCGGCAATTCACGATTGGTAAGAAGAGCGGGTTCAGGGGGCTTCGCGATCTCCTCCTGATGCTGTGGGCCCTCAGCCCGGTTCTTCAACTGCGCGCAGATTGCCTTCTCCTGGTCAAGCCCCCCCTTCTCCTTCTTCCACTTCGCGATGACGACAAGCCCCTCGGCCCAGGGCCTGCCCCCGCCCCCCCCCGCCCCCCGAGAAAAAGAAGACAAACAAGAGGAACGCAAAAAAACGCGCATCGTGAACTTGCCCAAAATGTCCCGGCGTTTTGCCCGCGAGGAGATTTGAAACTCAATATCCTCTCCGATGCTCTCGCGCCTCCTCACTCCAGCCTCCCAGGAGAAAAAGCCCTCTGCTTATCTGGCGCAGGCAGAGCGCCGTGCACTGAGATCGAGACTGGTTGCCTCGCCCCAAATCGAATAATCCTCGCGCGCGTGCACTTGCGCCTCGCCAGGCTGGAATCGCCGCCATCGCAAAACTGGCCCCCGCGCGCGCGGGAATATGAGTCGGGAGCCCAGCGCTCAGTCTCGAAGAGCTTCGCCGTTGAAAACGAGAGCCCCCTTAGTCCGACACGGGGCAACCGGGCCCTTGCAAATCCAATTCCGAAGACGCCAGCGCGGCTAACTCTTGCACGTCCTTTGCGACCTGTGTTCGCGAAGGCCGCTGGTGCCGTTGCATTTGAGCCTCGCGCGGAGGTGGGTCATGCACTGTTCCGCAATTCCTGTGGCGTCATATTCCAATTTCCAATTGTAATGTAGTGCTTCGTGTCGGTTGTAATATATCCCGCGATCTCTTACAGGATCCTTCCGCTCGCGCCGACAACCACTTCGCTGACGTTCAGACATGCAGAGATGAACGAGATAGTTCTAGCCACCCATTGGGTTCCATGAAATTGTGGTTTGCCGTCCGCGCCGACCATGCATGAGTACTCGAGCAAATATGATTTTCCTTGCCATCGCCCATACTCCGCCATGTCCATATTTTGACTTTTATTATTCTGCTGTCTGCACCGCTGGACTAGAGGTGCACTTCCATCCTGCTTTACGAAGTTTCTGTTTTTCCTGCATCAGCGTCGGTCCACGAAGATGTATTTCTGTACCAAGGTGGGCCATTACCTCCTGCATCTGTTCTTCGCTGGTATAACTGCACCCCGTCCCGTTCCACTTCGTCCTATTCGCTGAACCGGAAAGAATATTGTCTGTGGTGTCATTGTCGTCAGGGTCCCCCTCGTGGTTCCCCTGGCAATGTGTGGGCCCCTGCCTGTCGTCAGTGATCCCGTGATTGTCCTTCTTCGAGTTCGCCTGGTAAGTGCCACGGGACCTACAAGACTCATTACCCACGCGCTTCATGCGTCTTGTCCTTGGCCTGTTCCTGCTTCGATGCATCCCATTGTGTGCTATCTGCCCGCATTTCGCCTACAGCTTTTGGGGCACAGATGGTTTCGCTGGGCCCGATGGCGATGAGGCAGATCCTGACCCAGCATTCCCTGCAACAGGCAGTTCCTTTCGCGGAGGTGGTGATTCCTGGCCTGGAGATACTTGCTCGCCTCGAGTGGGTTCAGCGCCGCTTCCTGCTGCTGCTCCCTCTGCCGCACGTCTGGCCTGAGGTCCCATCCGTGTGCGATACTATTACATTGTCTGTTGTTGCGCTGCCAAGTCTGTCGCCGAAGGTCCGACGGCTGTCGCAATATGCTTGCGAGCTTAGAAGCATCCTTTTCTCATGCTGCTGCCATTGATCGATTTCTTCCTGGCTGCAGTCGTATTGGTCGAGCTTGAATTCTTCGCCGTCGTCGAAACGAACGATGCGCTCGAGGCCGCCCTCCTCCTGCACCGACAAGAAAGCTGAGACCTTGATCTTCGCAACATCTTTGGGCGCATTCGCGGTATGATTGAAAGACTGTTGCAGGAGATGTTGGTAGTCCGCTTCAGCTTCAGCTGCCAGCCGTGCCTGGTATGTCGTATCCTGTTCCGCTGTATGTAGCCATGTAGCCATTAATAACACATCCTTCATGTTGTGCTGCTTTGTCGAGGGCCTCACGGGCCTTGCGAGCTGCTCACGGGCCTTGTGAGCAAGACTGGTCTGTGCCAGTCATCTTCTGAAACAGCATTGCATCCTCAACCGCGGCTTTCCAAAGGAGAGCCGTTCTGACAGCCCTCGCTGGAGTCGAACCAAGCATTCTGCGGTGGTCCCTTCTTCCATCTGCCGCCCACTGGTTTCCCTCCTTTCCATGGCGGGGGCTTGAAATACCCATCACGTGTCCAGCACTTTGTGCGACTATGAAAATGCCAGTGATAACGACAAGATCCATGCACGCACGCAAGAGAATCCTTCCTTGTCGTCGCGCCATGTCTGGGGTACGTGTACGTTACAACACCGGGCAGATGCTATACCTCTTCTAGCTTGTAAAAAGAAAGGTAGCTGTTGGGGCCGCCAGTCCCCTTGCCAACTTCAAGTCTCTGAGCCACAATTCTACACGGATTTTAGCCCAAATGTCTACGGACCTCCTTCTTCTCCTCCTCCTCCTCTTTCTCCTCCTTCTCCTCCTCCTCCTCCCTCGTCCTCATCTCTCTCCTCCTTCTCCACCCCCTCCTCGTCCTCATCCCCCACCTCCTTCTCCACTCCCTTCTCCTACCTCCTACCTCCTCCTCCTCCTCCTCCTCCTCCCTCTGGCGCCTCATCCGGCACGCCGGGGTCCGCCAGTGCGGCGCGCAGCGCGCCCAAGACGAGCGGGTGGGCACACCCCTCGGCCGGCTGGCCGACGGCCAGGAGCGCCTCCAGGTCCCGGATGCCTGCGGCCACGCGCGGGGCGTCGCAGAGGACGTGCGCAGTGGCCATCTGGACGGTCACCTGTTCGACGAAGCCAGGACGAGGACAAGACAGGACCAAGATGACTCGGCGATCTCTCAGATCCGGCGGTTGTGAAGAACGTACCGGGCGCCACGGCCTTCTCAGAGCGTTCCGGAAGGCTCTGAGAGCGTTCCAGGACGCTATGGAATGATTCATCCCTGTCCTAGCCTTGTGTTGCCCCCATCGTACTTAAGGACTACATCCCAAAAATAATTTCGAGCACCCGGAAAAGTATCGAAACAGTGTCGAATCAGTGTCGGACGAGTGTCTCCCAGGGCCCGACACGTGAAGACTTTCGAGCTTCGGCACTTTTTGGGGTGCTCGAAATTGTTTCTGGTGCTCAAGGCTAGAGTAGGTTGGAACATCGTAGTCCTGGCCCCGCCCGCACCTGTGTGACGAGCTCCAGGGCGAGCCAGCGCCAGACATCAGAGGAGGGCGAGCCGAGACAGCGGCAGTTGGCCTGCGGTGGGCCCCCCCGTCGCCACGGCTGGACTCGGCTCGGGAAACTGGTGCGTTTGGGATCCGGGGATCCTGGGCCTCCTCCCCCTCCTCCTCCTCCTCCTCCTCCTCCTCCTCCTCCTCCTCCTCCTCCTCCTCCTCCTCTTCCTCCTCCTCCTCCTCCTCCTCCTCCTCCTCCTCCTCCTCTGGGGACCGGTTTGGAGCTGCCGTTGTCTCAACTCGCCCTGCTCCGAGGATAGCGCCGTCGAGGAGCACCAGCGTGTGCAGGCACAGGAAGGACAGGTACGCCTCCAGCTGCTGCCGCCTCCGCTCCAGGAACTGCGGGCTGAAATTGGCCAGCGCGCGCCAGTCGGGCAGGGAGCACAGAGTGGGGGCGAACGGCTTCTCCAGAGGAACAGGAGCAACAACATCAACACAACTTCTCGAAGGTCCGCTCGAATTTCTTGGACCGTTGCTGACCACCCTCCCAGGCGCGCGGAGCGCGCCAGGGGCGGCGCCAGAGGCCCCACCAAGGAGGGCCCAACGCCGATCCAAGAGATCTGCGCGGAGCTCCGAGAATCCATGTTTCAGCAATTCTTTGTTCCTCGATTGGCGAGCTCGTCGTGGAGCTGGCAGAACCTGGCGACTCCAGAACTCTTACGTCGTGATTTTCTCACATCGTGAACCCCTGGAGGTCTGGACCCCGTCCCCGGAACGGGCTTTTCGCCCCGGGCCGATGTTTGACTGCCCGGGGCCTGGCGAGGGCCCCTGGAGGCCGAGAACGGCAAGAAACCTTCCGACGTAATCCCTTGACAAAGCGAGGGGGTCTGGATCCTCGCCCTCCTCTTTGGAGAACTCGGAGTAGCGCTTCTCCACGGTGCTCGTGGCCCCGGGCTGCTCGACGACGATGGCGTAGGCGACGTGCGCGCCGAGCGCGCCGCGGGCCTGGAAGCGAGGTATCCTCACCGCCAGCAGCGGCTCCTGTAAGCCAGAGTAGTGGGTCTGGCGCAGATGGGTCCATGGATAGAAAAGCATTAAGTGGCGCCTGGACGCAATAGCTTGGGCGCTGGATGCAATAGGTGCGCGCGGATACACTTGCGTAGCCTTCTTCATATCCAACCGCTGTCGCCTGTGCAATATGTCGCGCCCCCCCCCCCTGCTCGAGTTGAGTACTACTGAACACAATAGTATACAATCATAGTGGGCCCTGGAAGCGACAATGAATTTGTTAAACGTTCATGTTCCATCTGCTTTACCGTTTCTGACGCTGTCTTTTGACGTTTCTGGCGCCGTTGCTTTACCGTTTTCGTTTCCCCCCCGGCGGAGGCCTGCTCCTGATCACCATCGTAAGCCGGATCCGAACTGTTCCAGAACCGGTCCCGAACGGCCTTCGGGTCCAACGACTGCCCAGATCGTTTCGGTGAATCGCTCTCTGCCGTTGTCGCGATCAAGAGGCAGGTGTTGTAAAAAAGGCTGCATCCGAAAAGCGGCCCTGCCGCTTCCAGGGCCCACTACTAAGTACACTTAGGTCGGGCGTGTCCTCCTACAGGCGGATTTTGGGCGTCTTTGATATTAAAAGCAATCATCAAAAATAGTCCCAAAAGCGTCCCCATCTCATTTTTTGACCATTTTCGAATCTTCCTCCTGTAGAGGGACGTGCCCGACTTACAAGTGCACAGAAGGTATGGACGAGTGCACCTCTCGCCGCCGACCCGTCTGCGCCAGACCCACCACTCCCGCGCAGAGCGTGGAGCTCCTCGAGCAGCCGCACGCCCCCGCCCGTCGGCTCCGAGCGCGGCCACCGCCCCTCGCCCGCGGCCTCCTCCAGGAGTGCCCAGAACCGCATCGACAAGTCGGGCCTGCGATCGACATACATCGGCCCAGCAAACATTGGCAGCCACGTGGGGAGAAATCGGACCGGCGGACATCGGCAGGCCCGTAAGGCCTCCGCTGGGAAACCGAGTTCGAGATCGGAATCCGAGGTCGAATCGAATCGGAATCGGAGTCGATCGAAGAGATGAGCCCTGGCCTCCGCCGCCTGGTCAGCCGCCACCGCGTCGCCGCTTTCCCCGCGCGCCGCTGGCCCCGGCGGCACCGCGGCGCCGGCCCCGCCGCCGCGGAAGACGGGGCCCTGCGGCATGGCGTCCACCAGCGCGGCGGGCGTCCGCCGCGGCGCCGCGCCGCGCGGCGCCCGCGGCGCCCGCGGCGCGCACGCGGCCTGCACACGCGCGGCGCGGAGGGCGAAGCGGCGCGCGCGCGGCCCGCACACGCGGCGCGCCGTGGCTGCGCCGTGGCTGCGCCGCGGCTGCGCCGTGGCTGCGCCGTGGCTGCGCCGCGGCGCCGCGCGCGCGGGTGGCGCGGTGGGGCAGGGCCGCCTGCGAGGTTCGGAGGAGTCGAGGGGGTCGGAGGAGGGGGTCTGTCCTTCGCCTGCGAGGCTCTCCCCTCCTCACCCAAAGTGCCGTCCCTGGCGATTGCCGCAGGCACTTCATCCCCCCAAGTACCTCACAGGAGCCATGTCTGCGGAGGGTGCCGCTGCTCGCGGCCGCCGTCATGTCTGCGGAGGGTGCCGCTGCTCGCGGCCGCCGTCCGCGCAGCTTGCGAAGCGAAGGCGCCTCGCCGCGTCATCCAGGCGGGTGCCGCTGCTGTCAGGGGCGTGCTCGTCCGGCCGATGGTGGAGGCCGAGCCTCGACCGCGTTCCGGAGTGCCCGCTGGTACGAGGAACCTGCCGTCCTGGCGGACATGCTGCGGGCTGCCCGTCGTGCTCAATGCTCCCGCAAGAAGGCAGGGCGTCGCGAGGCCAAGACTGCTGCGAAGGCGCCTGCACTGGCCGCTGGATGTGATACTGCTGGAGTCAAAGCCCCTCCGGCTGCTGGACGTGATGCGGAGCCGTGGGATGGCGAGAGCCAGAGCGTCCCGGAGGAAGAAAAATGGCGAGGAGAACGTGGCTCTGCGTGCTGGCCAGAAGCGCTCCACGGCTGCCGCTGCGGCGCTGGCCCAGCAGGTCCCCGGCGCTGCCCCCTAGAGGACGACCCTGATCAACCTAGCGGTCAGCCCGGGTGTCTCGTCCGCGAGCGGAGTGTCTCGAACTCCTGCGCGGAGCTGGTGGAGCTCTGCCGTGGGATGAGGGTCTCCGACGCAGAGCTGGATAGAAGAAGAAAAAACGGCCGAAACATAAACTTTTGATGGTCTGCGCGCATTTCTCGGATCTGCGCTGGACCCCCCTCGGAGGCGCCGCCTGGGGGGGGGGGGGCTCAGCGCGGATCCAAGATATCCGCGCGGAGCGCCACAAGTTTATGTTTACGGCGTTTCTCTTCTTCGAGATTGGAGGAGCTCGGCTGGAGGCCGGGTGGAGACGAGCAGGTCACTGGAGGGGCCGCCGGCGTGCGGCAGCCGTAAGCCCGTCGTGGCCAGGCCGCGGGTGGTCCTCTTCGAAGGCATGCCGCCCCAGCGGGGCGCCGCGCCCCTGGGGTGTAAGGTGCCGTCCCGTTGCCCCTCTCGGCCTCTCCTCGCTTCCTCTCTTCCCTCCCTTCCTCTTGCCCTCCCTCTCTCTTCCTTGCGTTGCCTCTCTCCTCCTTGCCCCTACGGGTGTTTGGGGGAATTCTAAGCGTTGCTTGCGCCCCGCGGGTGTGTGGCTGTTTCAATCGCGAATGCCTCCCATAGCCACTCGGGGATCGAGGTTTTGGCGCTTTGGGCGCACATATTTTTATTTACCTCCGCCGGCACCCGCTGGACTTCCGCCCGAGGGCAATGTGCGCCGAAGGTGAGGCCCTTTCTGGCACACGAGTCTTGTTAGTTCTCGATGTTTGTAAGATTTGTTATCCTCTGTCTCTCTCTTTCTCAATCTCTCTCTCTCTCGCTCTCTCGCTCTCGCTTTTTTGTTTCTTCTCTCTCTCTCTCTCTCTCTCTGCCTCTCCCAACACCCCGCCAATCCGTCCATGCACCGCCACCGGGCCCGCCCGCGCACAACCGAACGAGCACCGACCCTTCTGGAACACGAATCTCAGACACTCCATTTCACAGCGTGTCGCTAAGGAGCAGATCTGAAAAATACCCGTGCGGATCTCCAAAGGTTTCTGCTCAAACCACTGACTCTCCTTCGATCCTCCCGCCCCGAGGGACAGGAGGAAACGTCGGGCCTCCATCGGCGATCCATGGGCGTGTGGGGGTCCATGCATGCTCCCCTGGGCCGATCCCCCCTGGTCTACGGGTCATAGCTCGGCTCTCCAACAGCCGTTCGGGGCTACGTATCCAGGCACTCCTGGAACGCCCTCGGCGAGGCGCAACCGCTGGAATGCCCCCCCGAGGCTGGAAACCCGCCGGGAACCTACGAAGACGCATGGAAACCTCGAACTTCGAATTTCGAGCCGCTCCTGACGTTGCTCTGGACTGGAGCCATTTTTCTCCGTGCGCGACACGTGCTGTACGAAGCGGTGTACGCGCGGGCAGGCCCTGCGGCGTACGAGTTAGTTGTTGCCCAGGGTCGTGGCAAGGCGCGGTCGCGACCGGGATGGCATCAGGCCAGGGTCGGCGCTCGGTTCGGGCCCCGCGGGTGTCTCTGCCGACGCAGTGCTGCGCTCGACAGCTGGGTGACGTCCACGTGACAATCGGCAACAGGCCAAGCCAGTCTTACCCCAAATCCCTTTGGGTCATGAAAAGACATCACGACCGACCGTTTTGATCATTTTCCGCCTCCAGGGGACCTCGCCGGGCCCCCAGAGCGTCCACAAAACGGCTCAGGATGAATAGCCGGAACGCAGCATCTTTGAGGTCGAACTCTCGGCTCCTCCTCCTCCCCTCCTCCTCCTCCTCCTCCTCCTCCTCCTCCTCCTCCTCCTCCTCCCTCCCTCCCTCCCTCCCTCCCTCCCTCCCTCCTCCTCCTCTGCCGCCGCCGCCACCTCCTCCTCCTCCTCCTCCGCCTCCTCTTCCACATCCTCTGCCACCTCCTCCTCCTCCTCCTCCTCCTCCTGCTCCTCCTCCTCCTCCTCCTCCTCCTCCTCCTCCTCCTACCCCATGAATCCCCCATCCCCGTGAAAGTCCAAACCTCTCAGGCACCACGCTGTGGAAAAACATGGCGCCCGGGGTCTGGAAGGCTGTCTGGCCTCTCGGGCTCGGCCCGTGCTGCGCCACCCTGGCGCGCAGCCGGGCTGGCAGGAGCAGGAGGACCTGCTCTCCAGAGCGATCAGATGATTCGTGCCGCCCTCTCTTTTTTGGCCTCGTGGTCAATCTGCACTGTGCTAGTTTGTTCTGGCTCCCCCACCTCTTGGGACGGTGGACTGGTTGTTGAGCTCCCTCCGAACTGAGAGCCAAAAGCTACGGGCAGACAGCTCTCCGGGGCGATCAGATGATTCGCGCTGCCTGGGAGGACGCCAGCTATTCATCTACATCGATCCTGGCCAAGCTCGTCCTGGGCCCAGGATCGGTGTATACGCCCTCGTGGATTGGGCAGAAAGGAATGTCCACCGATCCTGGGCCCAATATTAGCCTGGCCTGGATCGGTGTAGGTGCATAGGTGGTACCCTCAGATTACCGCCTCGTGCTTCTCCTGCCCGCGGCGCAGCCTTTTGCAGAGTGATAAACTCGCACGCGCCGAAGTCCCAGGATCAAGCTCAGGGCGCAACTTGCGGAGATGTGATTACCCTTTCTTGGAAAGACTCCGCGGGCATTTAGTGGCCAGGCCCTGCAGAGCCCTGCCGATTGCTAAGGGGGGTTCCGAAGCCGGTGCATCCCCAGCCCTCGACGTGTTCAAAGTACTGGCAAGCGGGACTCTCATGCGCGCTTTTGACGCCCACTCGAATGGCTTCACCCCGACGCGCTGGAGGCACCCATTGCCGCAATGAACGTGCAAGGAGATCGCAACCACTTCAATCAGCTGATCCTTGCGGACTTCTGCAAACACTGTCTGCACTCCACTTTGTCCTCCTTGTGTGCAAGACCAGCGGCTTGTGGAGGGTGGGGCTGCGTGCACGCTGTCTCAAATCTGATGGGTGCCATGCGTCCCTTCACACATATCAGCGGCTTCTGACGTTCTCGCTGTCTTCTCTTGCCAACGTCTGGAGGAGGAGGAGGAGGAGGATGAGGATAAGGATGAGGATGAGGAGGAGGAGGAGGAGGAGGAAGAGGGGGAGGAGGAGGGAGGAGGAGGAGGAGGAAGAGGAGGAGGAGGAGGGGCCTGAGGAGCATGGACGGGAAAAAGACACGGAGCACGAAGAGCAATGGGAGGGAGAGGGCTGGGGGGGGGAGGGCAAAGAGCAGGAACAGAAAGCGGCGGCGCCATCGCCGTCGTCGGCGGGTCGCCGGCGGGACGCCGGCGCCGTCGCCGCCGTCGTCGGACACGGCCAGAACCGCGGCGCGCGGGGCCCAAACATCCTGCCGCTCCAATCTTTTTCGATGCGTGGGCCCCGGAGGTCTAGACCACTTCCCCGGGACTGGCTTTTCGTCCTGGGTCGTGTTTTGACGCTCCCGAGGCCCGGCGAGGGCCTCCGGAGGCCGAAGAAGGCCCAAATCCCGCTGCTTCAAGTTTTGTTGGAGCGTCGGATCCCTGGGGGGGGGGGGGGCGGCGGCTCGCCCGGGCCGATCTTTATGCCCACCGCCTTGTTGCGAGATGCGCCGCCCATGCACGTGAGCATGAGGTCGCCGATGCCGGCCAGGCCCGCCATCGTGTGTGCGCGGGCGCCTGCGTGCCAGGGCGACGAGGAGGAGAGGAAGAGGAGGGACTGCAGGAGACGAGGGGGGCTCTCCTCCCTCCTCCCTCCTCCCTCCCCCCTCCCTCCCTTCCTCCCTCCCTCCCTTCCTCCCCCCCTCCTTCCCTCCCTCCCTCCTCCCTCCTCCCTTTCGGCTTCCCTCCCTCCCTCAGGAGGACCCGAGACTCCAATAACTCCGCCGAAACGACGAGGGAACTGGGACATAACATGTGGAAAACGCGGCTACCCCAGGGCCGCGTGGGCGTCAATGCTTACAGGTGTCCCAGTTCGTGGGTGATCCTTGGCCTTTCCCAATTCTGTTGAAAGCCGTGAGCCGACGCCAACTAGTCTCCCAAGTCACAGGGCCCTTACACCAACCCAAACACAGGAAACTGACGGGCCCTCACATCGGTCCCGCACGTAAAACTGTAGCTACCACGTTCCAGAATCATGTCTCCTGGGGGCCCAGAGACACCAGGATCCACCCCAAATGCACCCAACATCATCCCTGCGACCCCTTCAACGGCGGCCCCGCGGCCATCTCAGCGCCAAAAGGACGCCCGAATCTGGCAAAGTGTCCCATCGGAGTCCCAAAACACTCCCAAATTGCTCGTGACAGCCAATCTAAAACACAAGCCACGGCCTCTGATTATGCATCATGTGTCCCGAAGTTTCGTGCCAAGTGCCTCGGACGGGAACTGCTTGTTTGGAAGCGCTGGCGCTGAATCTGGGCCGGCGGCAGGTGATGCGAATTGGGAAGAGGATGGAAAATGATGGGGGAGGGGGCACCGGGAGGAGCAGGAAAAGGAAGAGAAGGAATGAGGGGAGGGGGAGGAGGAAGAGGAGGGGGAGAAGGAGGATGTGGAGGACAGCAGGCGGAGGAGGAGGAGGAGGAGGAGGAGGAGGATTTGCTTTCTTTTTCAATCAACGTAAGCTCGACCCCCACCGCTGAGGACCTCTGAAAAATGGGTGCCCGTGCACCCCTGGAAGCCCCGAAGGTGCGCCGTGCCCCACTGGCTGCCCCTCGAACTCGCTGCGACAGCGCACAGCGAGCGCAAAGACAGGGAACCTCGCCCACCACGAAGAAAGGCACAGCTCACGGTGAAATGGGTTCAGCACGTCAGAGCTTGCCAACTCCCATCGCGAGTGAACAACAGGGCGCCACGAGGGACGGCAACACCAAAAGGGGGGGCAAGGCGCGCCAGGAGCCCGTGCTCCGCGCGCCCTGCCGCCGGCAGGTAGAAGGAGCCCGTGTTCCAGGAGCCCGTGCTCCGCTTCACTGCCGACCGGAGCCCGTGCTCCAGGAGCCCGTGCTCCGCACGGGGCAGGGGCAAGAGACCGTGCTCCGCCCAGCTGCCCCGCCACCCGCCCCCCAGGGGCGGCGAGCGGGGGATGGGGCCTGGGGACCCCGGCTGGGGGGTGAGCCCAGCCGGGGGGGAGCCCAGGACGCCAACCCCCGAACGCCCCCCTACGGAGGGTGGTTGCCGACCAAGGGCCAGCAACCCAAGGGGATTTGAGTGCCCCGAGGGCCCTGGCGCGCCCCCCCCACGCACAGGTGCCCGCCCCCGGGGCGGAGGAGGAGGAGGAGGAGGAGGAGGAGGAGGAGGAGGAGGAGGAGAAGGAGAGGGAGGAGGAGAGGAAGAGGCTGAGGGGGGAGGAAAAGGAGGATAGCAGAAGCGAGGGCGAGGAGGAGGAAGAGGAGGAGGCAATTGGGGAGGCTGGAGAAGGTGAACGAGAAAGCCAAGCGGAATATGAGCAGAAGAAGGAAAGGAGAGGAGAAGGGAAACACAAAGGCGGATAGGGAGGGACGGGAGGGCGGGAGGGGAGGAGGGGAGGGGAACCATAAGATATGGGGACAAGCGGGACGAGGACAGGAGAGGGAGGTGAGGGCGGAGGCGAAGGACCAGCAGAGCTCTTCTGCTGCTGTTGATCTATTTGCTGAAAATACTGATTTTACGGATGCTGTTGCTTGACAGCGCTGCCGCTGCGGTTCCTGATCCGCCAACCTGTCCTCATCCTCGTCGAGCGTACCCTGCAACGCAAGCAGGTTTGATATACCGGTGGTGGACCCCACCTGCGCGGCCTCCGCCGCGAAGCAACTGTCTTCCTCCTCATCCTCCTCCTTCTCCTCCTCCTCATCATCAGCATCAGCATCAGCATCAGCATCAGCATCAGCATCAGCATCAGCATCATCATCATCATCATCATCATCATCATCATCAACAGCAGCAGCAGCAGCATCAGCATCAGCATCAGCATCAGCATCAGCATCAGCACCAGCACCAGCATCATCATCATCATCATCATCATCATCGTCATCATCATCATCATCATCATCATCATCATCATCATCATCATCATCATCATCATCATCGTCATCATCATCATCATCATCATCATCATCATCATCATCATCATCATCATCATCATCATCATCATCATCATCATCATCATCATCGTGTTTCCTCTGTTTCCTTTACATATTCCCCCTCCCACCGCGGCGAGCATTTCTTCTTTTCTTCTGCGCAGCTGGCAAGGCGGAGCGGCGGTGGTGGCGTGGAGGGGGGCTGTGGAGGGGGATGAATACGACCGTTAATGTGTTTGTCTGGTTACGTGTGGCCACGAAGACGCTGGTGCAGTCGCATTATGCCGCTGCGTGGTTAAAAACAGGTTCGGCAAGGAGTGGCTCGAAACGTGCCGCTGTCTGCTTCCTTGAGTCCTCCTGTTCCTAATCCCCTAGCCGTATATTCTCCGACTGAGCCACTTAACCGGCGAATGCAGGCCGCGCCCACCTTACCCATCGAAGATAACAAGATGCGTCGACGCTTCGCCTTTCGACATGGACGTTTTGTCGTTGACGTTGCAGAATGCGTGGCCAGAACGGGGCGGGGCGCACATCGTGCGCGAAGAGGCGAACTGTTGCTCTCGGTTCGGCGCCGCGAAAGTTTCGCCGTTCCCGCTCCAGCGAGGCGCACAATGTGTCGTTCCCCAAGTCGTCGCAGGGAAGAGCCGCAAGCGAGCGGGTGACTTGCCGCCCTCGGGTTCCATGGAGATTGCCCGTGGAGGTGGCGCTCCTGCGCGGTCGCGGCGCGTGTTTCGCCCGCCCAAATCGCATGAAAACCACAAAGGTGGCGGGGACGCAATAGAGCGGGCGACATCCTGTCCTCGCCCAGAGGCGCCGCGCTGCGTTTGCGTGAGAGTGGAAGCGCTGTTTCGACGCGACACGCGCTTCGTTTTCGCACCGCTCATTGGGAACTCTGCCATCCGAAGGTGGGCTCACCTGCGTTCTCGCCGCAGCGCCGCGCACTGATGTTCTAAAACTTCCGCGCGTGCGCGGCACGCGGTATCACCTTCGCCGAATAACCGGAAGCGGGGCCGCACGCGCGCGCTTTCGGTGCGCGTCCGGGAGGAGGAGGAGGAGGAGGAGGAGGAGGAGGAGGAGGAGGAGGAGGACCCCCCGCACCCCCCGCCCCCCCCGCCCCCCAGTGCCAAGTTGTGCCACCATTGATACTTTTGCTGTGCTAAGCGGGATGGGAAAGGGCGAGGCCCGCTGATTCGCTCGACCTGGTAATGTTCGGCCTCCTCCCGGTGTTGATGTTCCTCCCTCCTCCTCTCCTCCTCCTCCTCCTCCTCTTCTTTTCCTCCTCCTCCTCCTCCTCTCCTCCTCCTCCTCCTCCTCTCCTCCTCCACCTCACCCTCCTCCTCCTCCACCTCACCCTCCTCCTCCTCCTCCTCCTCCTCTTCTTTTCCTCCTCCTCCTCTCCTCCTCCTCCTCCCCTCTTCTCTTCCTCCTCCTCCTCCTCCTCCTCCTCCTCCTCCTCCTCCTTCTCCTCCCCCACTGATGTGCAATCGCGTCCATTGGCTAAACGTGGTGCTATAGGAAAATTCGCCGGCCCAGCGGGCCAGAGGCGTGCTAAGATCTCCGGTAACTGGTAAACAAGATTTCTGGTTCGCGCGCGCGGGGCGGCCCCTGGGCCCTGGGGGTCCCTGGATCAAAAATACCCCGGGCGGAGCCCGGGACACGCCCGGGACACTCCCCCAGATCCTCCAGGATCGCCCCAAGAGGGCCCCAAGAACGCCCCCAACACAATCCAAGAGAGGTCCGAGACGCCCGAAGATCGCTCCACGGCGCCCAAGATGGCCTCCAGACGGCCCAAGAGGTCTTCAAGATGACCCAACAAGCCTCCAAGATGCCCCAAGAGGCCTCCAGGAGCACTCCCAAGAGGGCCCCAAGAGGCAAACATCAATGCTTTTCCATAGGTTTTGGACAGATTTGGGCGTTTCAACCTTTTCGGTTCCCCGACGCCCCTAAACGGCTCAAGAGGCCTCCAAGATCGCCCCAAGAGGGCCCAAGAGGCCCCAAGAGGGCCCCAAGACGGCCCAAGACGGCTCCAAGACGGCCCCAGAGGCCTCCAGGACGGCCCAAGAGGGCCCCAAGAACGCCCCCAACACGGTCCAAGAGAGGTCCGAGACGCCCGAAGATCGCTCCACGACGCCCAAGATGGCCTCCAGACGGCCCAAGACGTCTCCAAGATGACCCAAGAAGCCTCCAAGATCCCCAGGAGGTCTCCAAGTGCATTCCCAAGAGGGCCCCAAGAGGCAAACAAACAATGCTTTTCCATAGGTTTTGGACAGATTTGGGCGTTTCAACCTTTTCGGTTCCCCGACGCCCCTAAACGGCGCAAGAGGCCTCCAAGATCGCCCCAAGAGGGCCCAAGAGGCCCCCAAGAGGGCTCCAAGATGGCCCAAGACGGCTCCAAGACGGCCCAAGAGACCTCCAAGACGGCCCCAAGAACGCTTCAAGAACGCCCCAAGAGGGGGCTCACGAAACAGAATTTCGAGCTCTCGGCCCTTAGAGGCACCCGATATGTCCCAAGACGCCCTCAAAGGCCCCAAGAGGCCCCCAAGAGGCCCTCAAGAGGCCTCAAGAGGCCTCCAAAAGGCCCTCTGGAGGCCTCCAAAAAAAACCCAGGAGGCCCCCAGGACGCCTTCA